TACTTATGAACAATGTGTAGAATCTTCTCTTTGGGTGTCTACTGAAGAGATGAACCTGACTGCCAAGGTCAGGGAACAGAGCTCCATTTCATTCACACCAGTACAACCAACTACCAGCTAGGAGTTCTTGCATATTATGGTCAAACAGATGGAAAAGACACTCCTGTCCCTTTTCAGCTGGTGCACAATTGTTTGTTGAGTCCCTTTCTAGTGTTTGTCTAGTTTTAAGCAGCAGTTTTCACTTCCTAAATTTCCCTTCTTGATTGTGAATTCTTATTTATATTTCATAAATAATTTTACAAATAAATTAGTTTTACTTAATGATACAGATTGTCCAATATAGGTAAACAAGTATGATGATTAAAACGGGGAGCATGTAAAGCAAATTATAATAACAACTTGTGATATCTGTTGTTTTTTCCAAATACCCTGCCTGGAACTAAACAATGGAAAGGCTGTTATCTTTGTATACAGAAAATGTGTGGTTGTTGATGGTGCCTGAACTGCTCTCTTTGTACCATGAACCCAGTTTTCTACCTTTTGATTTGACAGAAACAGCTCACTGTACTTTATACCCATCTTGCTTAGGGGGAAGTCTTGCAAGGAGACTTCTTCCCTTGCCTTCACCAAGTTCTAGATAGATTAGATCTAATTAGGAATACGTGGTAGTGGCTTGCTGCCCTGCTCTTAGCTTGCCCTGGACTTTCAAGGACAGCTCTGCCTGCTGAATGGGTCACCTTCAGTAAAAGAAATTTGTGTGTATAGTACTATACACTTAAGTCCAGAGATAGCAGAAGCCTAACATGTTGGGCAATGTAAAGGGTGTAGTGTTGCAGATGAACATTGCCCCTCACCTTTGTTATCTTCTCATTAGCCTGTCTTTGCCTACAGTGCAGATTGGAGGTTCTTAGTTTGAACGGTTTATTATGAGTTGCCTCTTTGACTTCTTGTCGTCTTATTGCTTCTTTCTGAAATGTCCAGTAAAGTCCTTCAAAATCAGGTACTGCTGGGTTAATTCTTGGTTTAAAGCTGAAGTTATCCTGTAGGAAGCCAAGTTTTTCTTCCTTAGTCTTAGTGGCAGTTCGGAATTGTGGCTCTCTTCGTCTACTGCTGAGATCAAAAGGAGCAAAGGAGCTTTCCAGCAAATCCTTGGCTCTCATCTGAATGCGTATTTTCCTGAAGAGTTCAGCTTCTGGGGATCAAAATCAAACTGTTTTGACTCGAGATTGAAGGATGGTGTGCAAAGCTAGGAACTGCCAATGCAGGAGAGGGACAAGCTTACAGTACTTAGGATGGCTTTCCTTCTCAATCTCTCATAATAATCTGCTAAGGCAGATAGGTAAGGCTGGGAATTCTCCCCAAAGGTGGCAAATCCTTGACTCCTAACTAACATTTTCTTCTCCCAAACCATTTAACATTTATTTGCTTGAATTAATTCCCCTCCCTACCCTCCTCCACAGAGATTTGTCCTTTAGAACTTATTCCTGACCCCGCCACAAGCACTCTGAGCTGCTCGCTCTGCATGCTCTCTCTCATTAGCAAACACATTTTTCCCCTCTAGGGAGAATATTAGTGGATGTGTTATTTCTCTATTGTTACCATATGTTGTATTGTAGGAATGTTGTGTGGAGGCTATGTTATAACCAGCTGTTTTTCCCCATAGATTTATTTCCCTAAAATTTTATCACAATTCAGACATAACTCAAATTCACTGTTAATGGGCAACTTTTCTTGTTTTATATAAATATGCAATTCATTGATCTTGACCTATATTAGAAAATAGTGCGTTTTCTGCCTCCCCAAATCCTTAGTCCCTCTGTGGGACTAATCTTTCACATGAGGTGAAAGATCTACATTCCAGGAGTGAAATGCTACAATAAGACTTTCCTATGTGACACAGTAAGACTCTTTTCTATGCAACATTAAAAACATGTAAAACAACTTTCCTTTTAGAAAGGATGATAGACAGTATTGTTGGCACAAAAATTCTCTGTTGAAGATGTACATAAGTAAATGGACTTTCGTCAAAGCACCGAGTATGTGTTTGGGGCACTGGAGAGCAGACTAAAAAGAAGGTTGGAAAGAAAGCTGATCATTGTGTACAGGTACTTGAACTAAAAAAAGTTACCGATAGCATAGAAGGATGTGGGGGCATGGGATTTTTCAGCATTGTTAACAAAGAGGTAACAGGATTCAATGACTGAAAGTTGTTAAACAAATTCAACCTAAAAATAATAAAATGCAGTTTCCTAGCTCCAAGATTTAATTACCTTTTTGCAGTTTATCGTGGAAGGTGGGGGCTCATTTTCACTAGGTGTTACCACCTAAGGAGCCATTAGGTATTTTTTTAAAAAAAGTGCTTTTTAGAGGACTTCTAGAAAAAAAAACCTGTCTTACGTGGGTCTGAAGGCAGTGGTGTAGAAGTAGAACAGGATGTCCTTCATTGCTTTCAGTGTGCCAGAACATTGGTCAATATGTGTGAAAACAATTAGTCTAATTCATGGCTTTGGATAGCTGCCTACAGGGGTTGACAAGATTTTATTTCCCCCCACCCATGATGCACTAACTGTTGGATGTATTCTTGCCCTTGGCCTCCTTATTGTGTAGCCTGGGGTAAAATATGCCTGTTAGGATTATCTGGGTATATCTCAAAAATCAGTTTCCTGCTACTGTAACCTAATCTCCCTTCCTGTGTCTCTAACTCAACATAGGGGGATCCACGGCGTGTTTATGTGTATAAGTTTATCCCATAGATTTTGTAGTGTTTTACAGAATTTAAAATTGGAAGGGGCCATTAAATCATCTAATCTGATCTCCTGGATATATATTTATGCAGGAGATCAGATTAAATGATTTGATGCCCTGTTCCAATTTTAAATTCTGTAAAACACTACAAAATCTATGGGATAAACTTATTTCTCAGCATTTCTTGGCAGTGTAATCCATCAGGCAGGAAGAGAGTTGAAATGGGACAAACTAATGATCTGGTGATCAGAGACTAATGATACAGAATCCCTTCTACAGGAATAGCACGAGCACTTTACCTTTGAGTTTATCTCCAAGAACAGGGCTGTAGATGGATTTAGGGACTTTCTTGCTGGCTTTCTGTTTGGAGCTCTCAGCTGGAGTCAGTGCTGCCAGAACCTTCTCTCTGATGGCTTCCTTCTCCTTTTCCTTCTCCAAGAAGCTGAAGGGTTGCTGAGTTGAAAGGAGCAGCTCCTTTCTCCTCTGTATTGCCACATGTCTGCGAATCTCATTCTGCTCCATTAGCTCCTGGTAGAGTGGAAGGAACACGTGGGCAGGCACTGGCTGTGCCCGAAACTGCTTCTGGCACTCTGCTTCCTCTTGGCTTTGTCTTTTGTCTCTCTCTTTCTCTAGCTCAAGAAATGCACGTGATTTCATCAAGTGGGACTTCTTGTGAGCCTCCCGCAGGGTCATCTTGAAAGGCTGGGGGATGGTAATAGAAGAGATCCAGGCAGATGTGGCGCTCTTTGGCCTCTCATGGGATTTGTGAATTAAGGGACTGTCCCAGGTGAGGTCAGTTGAAGAACTGGACTGCCTCATGTCCCCAAATCTACAAGCAGAACAAAGAGAACTTTATCAAGAACAAACAAGGAATTTGTTTGGAAATCTGATAGACAGAAAATGGAGAGCTTCCTTTTGGTTGGTTAAGATAAAAATCTCATCTACTTTTTTGGTGGTTACAGGGCAGGACTGGGCCTCGGGAAACCTGGGTTCTATTCCTGCAACAGAAGGACTGCCCCATGCCTTTTATTTTTCTGTCTGTAAAATGACTCGTGCTTATCTTTGTAAAAAACAATCGGGATTCATAGAGATTATATCTTTTATTATACCAAGATTTTTGCAAAACAGATTTCTTTAATTGCAAGCTTTTGGGCACAAACACGTTTCATCAGGTATTGGAGAAAAAACTAAAAGTTCTCCTGGCTAGAAATGAAAGTTCATATTTCATAGGATTTCACAGAGGAGTTAATAGATTAAAAACTCCTCCGGGCAGTCAGTTCATAGCTGGTATGGAGTTTCTTACCTCTTGTGAGGTTCTGTGATGATGCAAATTACCTTGAAACAAAGGCAGGAGCAGTGTCTCAGGTTTCAGGTGGTCACAGTTGCTTCCTGCTTGGGAAAATATGAAGACTTCATTTTAAAAATCGGCTAAAATTTGATATCTTTTCATGTGTCAGGTATCCAGGTTGTAGCCATATTGGTCTAGAGGGAAAAAGCAATTGGGACTCATAGTAGGGATGATATCTTTTATTTAGACCAAAAAGACTTTTGCAAAAAATGTTCCTGACCCACTGGCTCTTGCCTTTGTTTCAAGGTAATTTGCATCATCACAGAACCGCACAAGAGGTGAGAGACTCCATACCAGCTATAAACTGACTGCCCAGAGGAGTTTTTCCACCTACTGTCCCCTCTGTGAAATCCTATGAAATATGAACTTTCATTTCTACCCAGGAGAACTTTTACAATCTTTTCTCCAATGCCTGATAAAGGGTGTTTGTGCCTGAAAGCTTACAATTAAAGAACTTTTTTTGCAAAAATCTTGTTGATCTAAAAAGATATCTTTTCTGCTATGAATCCTGATTGCTTTTTCTTCTAGACTAATATAGCTACAACCTGGATACCTTTGTAAAGTCGTTTACCACTAAATGCATGGCACTATTGTCATTATATTGCTGACTTCCTTTATGTGGAAGTTTCCAGAACGCTCCTGAGTGAAGAGAAATTAATTTTGTGCGTTTTACCTCAAAGCATCATAGGACCTTGTCTGCCGAGTCCATGGTCCGTTGTCTTGGAAGAAGTCTTTCAGCTCCTCATCCTCCCTGGACAGTTTGTGGTTGTTCTCTAACTTTGCCTGATACAGCAAGCCCACCTCTAACAGATGCTGTCTGTTTTTCATCTTGAGACTTTGCAATGTGCCATAGTATCCTTCGTGTAAGCCAGAGGCTGCTGTCATCTCTTTGCCTGACTGGAGAAAATCCAGCAGGTCACCTCTTCTGTGCTGAGTGATACCATTATCACCTGTCTCCTCTTCTGCTTCTGAATCTGAGGAAGACTTGGGTAGAAACACTTAAGAGAAATCAAATCTGGGTGTTCAGTAAAATCATTTAATCCCTCTCATTTTATTTATTCATTTTCCAGAAACAACTTAAGCCCTGAGAAGCGGCCTGTATTTCTGGTTTTTGTCACCCCAAATCCATCGTAGCCTGCTCCATACAACATCCCTATAGCTATAGGAAGATTACAAATCTAGCAGAGGGACTGGTCTAAACCCCATGGGAAGCAGAATACCCAGGGTGTGTCTATATGGCAAAGCACAGTCTCAATGTACAGTTCTGGTATCAGAAGCTATGTTGATGAAATTCTCTGCCTAGACTAATTAGGCCTGCTGAGGTGTTATGTTACTGCAGCACTATTGTTTCCATTACCCAAACTAACCCTGGTATCTCTACGTGGCACCGAGTTGTGCCACACAGACCCACCTATAGTGTATAACTCCCTTTATCCTTCCTGCATGCTGCAGCTGGAGGTATTTGAGTTCATGCACACTCCAGTCTACCTATGTGTCCTTCATACTTTTCATTTCCAAGTATGCATAACATCTATTGGATGTACACTGGAGCCTGGCTGCAAGTTTCCAGGGAGATTCTGAGGGAAGTCAAGAGCAAGCAAATCTCATTTACAGTGGCAGAAGCAAGATTTGAGATTTGTAGTCCTATTAGAACCAGCAGTAGCAAATATTTGCAACAAAACTGACTAATGTCTTTCTTCAGTTAGTATCTGTTTTCTTGAAAAAAATCAGTTGACTAGTTTCAAGAGTTTTAATTCCAGGGAAGGACTGAAGGATTGTAAATAACCAGTGCTGAACTCTGGACAGATGCACTGAACAGAGTTCCCCATCTCTGATCAAGATAACTTTGCAATGACTTGTTACTTAAATGTCCTCACAGAAGGAGTCCAGCCATTCCAAACCGGTTCTCATCTAATGGAGAAAACCAGCATTTGCGCATTAGCCAGTTGCCAAGTGCCCTAAATAAAACAGTACAAGTTGACTTTTTGTGATAACCATGACACTGCAGGGTAGAAGAACAGAAGGGGGATGCATCTGCTCTGCTCTCACATCACACCAGTGGTTCAGGCCATGAAGCACACTGTTCTTGTCCCAACACAGTAAGTTTAGTGGGCTGTGTGTGAGAAGCATGCCACAAAGGGGAGAAAATGGTGAGCAAGGCTGAAGAAGTGCAAGGTGCAGCAATCCTCAGACCACACCCATCCATGAAGGAGTTTGATGTGGCTGCCAGCTGGCTGCTGCTAGTTGCTTTGTGCATCATGCCATTAAGTGGGTGCACTGTGGGAAGCAGGACAGGAGCCAGTCTCTGCCCTGGGGCAGACCTAGGATCTTGCAAAGGACTGTGTAGATGGTGTGGTGCATCATCACCAGGGATCCAGGTTTTCCATTTCCCATGGAAAAATGGAGAAAACCACGGATTCCCTGTTTTTATCAGGGAAAACGCGGATTTCCCTTTTTAGCAGAGAAATCTGTGGGTTCTCTGCTTTTGCAAAGAGCTCTGGCAGGCTGGCACAGCTTCAGCCTGCAACAGCGGATTGCAGAAAGGGTGGGAAACCCTCAGCCCTGCCCAGAGGGGAAGGGAGAGGGGGGCAGGGCAGGGCCTGAGTCTCTGAGGCAGCCGAGGCTAGGCTTGGGCTCAGACTCGCCCTTCACCCCTAGAGCCTAGAGGTAAGTGGGGCTGAGGGGCAGGGCTGGGGAAGATGGTTGGGGGCTGAAGGAGTGGGGGGTGCTGCCGGCCCCAGGTGGCACACCACAGTTGGGAGCGGGGCCAGGGTGCCCCTCTGCAGGGGGCTTTGCGGGCAAGTGATGTGGGGCGCAGTGTGGTGGTGCCCACCATGTGTGGGCTGCACACATGCTACCTGGCCACACACCCAGGGGAGTGGGGACTAGCATGCGGCTGGCTGCACAGCTCGGTGGCTGGCTTTGCAGCGGCAGCAAGGGATTGGGCTGGGGGGGGCTCACATGCAGCACCTGCTAACACTTACCTGGAGGACCGTGCCAGCGGTGACAGTTGCTGCCTACAAAACCTCCTGGTGCTGCCACGGAACCATGCCTGGAGCTGTGCAACCAGGCACAGGGCAGCAGCGGCAGTATGGTGGCAGCCAGGCAGCACGCAGCCATCCCCACCACCATCCCATGGAGGCCATTGCTGCTGCCACGCGGCCACACAGCTCCAGGTATGGTTTCGCAGCAGCAGCGGGAGATTTTGTATGCAGTGGCCATCACTGCTGGCGCACAGCAGCCACTGCTGCTTACCTGTAGGGCCACCTGTGCCAGCAGTGACGGCCGCTGCGTACAGAACCTCCCACTGCCGCCATGGAGCCGTTCTCGGAGCTGTATGGCCGGCTGCCGGGCAGCAGCAGCAGCAGTCTGGTGGCAGCCATGGCTGCTGCGTGGCGTGGGATGGTGATGGGTTTGGCTACATGCCATCCGGATGCCACCATGCTGCCGCTCTGTGCCTGGCCACACAGCTCTGGGCACGGCTCCATGGCGACGCAGGGAGGTTTTGTAGGCAGCAGTCGTCACCGCTGGCACGGCCCTCCAGGTAAGCAGCAGCGGCTGCCGCATGCAGGCCCATCCCTCGCCGTCGCTGCAGAGCCAGCCATAGAGCTGTGCAGCTGGCTGCATGCCAGCCTCCTTCCCCTACCCTGAGCAGGTGACCAGGTGGCATGTGTGGGGCCTGTGCACGGCGGGTACCACCACATTGCGCCCTGCATCGCTTGCTTGCAAAGCCCCGCAGAGAGGGGTACTCCTGCCCTCACCCACTGGCCCTGCTCCCAGCTGTGATGTGTCTCCTAGGGCTGGCAGCACTCCCCTCTCCCTCAGCCCCCAAGCCGCCTACCTTTAGGATCCATGAGCAAAGGGAATGGTTCTGTGGTGGCAGCCCTTGCCCGCAAAGCACACAGCTGCCAGCACACAGCTGCCAGCACCCCACACCACCGCAGAGCCGTGTAGCCAGTTACGGGGCATAAGCAGCGGTGCAGTGGTAGCCGCTGCATGCAAGCCCCTTTCCAGCCCCATGCCGGGTGGTATGTATGTGGCCCGCACACGGTGGCTGCCGTGCCCTGCTCCATTTGCCCACAAAGCCTGCAGGTGGCCGTGGGATGGTAGCACAGGGTGCAGTGGCAGAATTGCAGTTGTGGCCTCCATGTGCAAGAACCCCATCAGGCCAGCTGGCATGTGTGTGGCCCACAGAATGGCACCCCTGCCCTTAAAAAACAAACCTCCCCAATTTTCGAATTAAAAAAGTAACCCCAAATCCACATTTTTCCGTGATCAAAATGAAATGCTACTAATACATAGATCTATATATAGTGGTGTTTCATTTAAATCAGGAAAAATGTGGATTTGGGGTTACTTTTTTTAATCCAAAAACTAGGTTTTTTTTTTTTTTTGGTTTTTTTTTGTCAGAGGAAACCCAGGCTCCCTGCCCTGAGCTGCCGTTCCGGCGCCACGTGACGGTCGTAGCAGAAGCCGCCGGTGGCGGCGGAGCTGGGTGGTAGGAGACAGTCCCTTCCCCGCGCCATGGCAACGGGGCCCCGCCCAGCCCCTGAGTCGCCTAGCGGCCCGTGGGAACGCAGGGTGCCGCTACCATGGCAACAGCCGCCGGGAGACACCCCCCACATTCTCACCTGCCGGGCCTGCGCTTGGCCCCCCGCCCCGGCCTCGGCTGCCCGGGGCTCCGGCACAGCCATACTCTGCTCCGGCCGGCCACGCCCACCCGCCGGCGGCCGCTCCCAGCTCACTGGGCGACTAACACGCTTCTGGGCCCCTCTCCTCTGTCGTCACTGCCGCAGCAGCGAATAGCCGTTCAGCGTGGCCCCTGCCCTGTGCCCTCCCACGGCCGCTGGCCGCATGGTTCCCGGAACAGGTTGCTCGGGCGGCATCAGCGTTGTCATGGTACCAGTGTCGTCACTCCTGGTTGTGGGGCGGGGGTTGTTAGGGGAGTTCGTCACTTCCGAGGTGATGGCGGCGGCCTTGGGCAAGAGCGCTGTGTCTCTGCTCAGGCTCGGGCTCGGGCTCGGGCTCGGGAGGGGGTTGGCACTGCCCCCCGCGCGGTCCGCGGGCTCCGGACCCACGTGCGATGTGGTGGTGTCGGGCGGGGGCATGGTCGGCAGCGCCATGGCCGCCGCTCTGGGTAAGGGCAGGGGCCCAGGCGGGTGGTGCGGGGTTCAGCGGCTCGGCCCCTCAGGGCGGGGGAAGGAGCTGCCCAGGGCGGAGGCGCCTTCGCCCCCGCGGGCACCGGCAGCTGAGCTGGGGCAATCAGGGTGCGTCAGACGCGGGTCTTGGATACCCAGCGCTGCGGCCTCGGTACCGGCGTCTGACAGCGCCGAGAGACGCGGGTTTAGTGTTTTGGAATCGTGTCCTCGGCCTCGTGGAGGGAGAGGTGAGCAGCGTCCACGTGACCTGCCTTCAGCCCCTGACTCTCCCTGAACCGCATAAAAAAGACTTGAATAATCCCTCGGCAATGAAAAATACCTGACTTCTAGGGCGGTGTATCCTTAGCTCTGATTAAACGGCTTCAAGTCCATTCTGTAGTGATTGATGCATTTTAGTTTTTATCATCTGTGGTAGGTTATTGTTTTTCCTGTCACATTGACAGCTGAGAGTTACAGCTGAAGGGATACCTTAACTCTTGTGTTTCTTAGTTGGGTTTCTTTTAAATGTAATGTTACTTTAGGAGTTCTTGGTTTAGGCTTAATAACTGCCTTCCTCTGTTATATTTTTACCCTTCTACAGAGGAGGATCTGGAGGGTTATAGTAGATCATGGGCTGAACCAAGGAAGCCGGGCAGTAACAAACAAACAAATAAATAAAGTCAACACTGCACTGGGATGTACAAATCAAAGTGTACAAAAACAAACTAATTTTTCCAAGTTATTTTACATGGGTATGGCCTCAACTGGAGTACCAGTCTGAAAGAAATATGTGGGCCTATTGGAGAAAGCCCAGAGGGGACCAGAAATTAAAATAGATGGTTTAAAAAAGGCTGTGGGTGTCTTCTTTATTGGAGGTTTTTAGAGCAGGTTACATGAACCTTTCAGGAATGGCCCTGGTCCAGCTGGTCCTGCCTTGCAGCAGATGCACTAGATGACCTCTCATTTACTAAATCTACCTGCACCAACATCCATACACCAAGACACTCAGAAAAAACAATCTATAAAATTCCTAGTGATTTTATAACGCATAGTATCCACTTGAAATCTTTGTGGGTGCCTTGCTACAACAGAGTGACCAGAGCACCCAGCCACTTAAATTCTGCTTTGTTGCTTTGCATCACTAGAGCAACTAAGTGTTCAGTTGATCTGCCCCATAATTTATAGTTATTCATTTAAAGGGCTGTGTTTAATGAGACTTATTAGGATCTAGGCTCTCCTGACCTTCACTCATGAGTTACAATGTCTCTTAGTTTAGAGGCTTATTTTACTCCTGTGCCACTGTTTAACCCTTCCCCACTCCTCCTCCCCTTACAAGAAGTGATGGCCTAAAACTAGTATGCAGCAATGGGTCTCTGTGACAGTTGGTCTGTATATCTGACCAATAGAGCTCCTCCTACCAGTACTGTATTATTACAGACGTTAGAATTGTTGCATGTAAATTGATTGTAGAGGAAAAGGAAAAAGCTATTAAGTGATTGATTATTCATGACAAGTAATGGAGTCTGACTGTACTATATATAAACAAAACAGTTCGATAAAACAATTGCTCACAATTTAGCTTAGTTGCAACCTATTTTAAAATATTTTTATTAAAAATAGCAATTCATTTTAACTATGGAAAGTTTGAAGTGTATCTAGAAAGGTTCTGGGATCTCTGTCACTAGAAGTTCAGAAGGGCAGGTTAGACAGACATTTAGTTGGGATGGTCTAGACAGAGCTGGTTTTGCCATGAGCAGGGGGTTGGAGACTAGATGACCTTCTGAGGTCCCATCCAGCTCTTTCTGTGATTCTGAGTGCCTGTATTTATTCTATTGTAAAAATCACTTTGAACATAAACCACTAGTAGATTTACTTTAAACTCTTAGAAAAGGTATGTCATATATGCCAAATACAAAAAGTAATGTGGGGTGGGAGGGTGTATTTTTCATACAAACCAGAGGTTGAATCCCTGTGTGATTTACAAAACAGACCTCAACTTTAACTATAACTGGCATCTCCAGAATATTAATACTTTCTTATCTAGTCAGAATTCTTCATTTTCCCTGTATGGGCTTTTATTTAAGAACATCTAATCAAAGTGCCTGGGAGATCTTGATACAAAAAAGAAGAAATACGTTTTTATACAAGTATGTTAATGTTTACTTTTTTCAGGACATGATGTCCATTTCCGTGATAAGAAAATTGTGCTACTGGAAGCTGGTCCTAGGAAAGTGTTTGATCGTTTGCCTGAGACTTACAGTAACAGGGTCAGTTCCATCTCCCCTGGCTCAGTGACCCTTCTCAGTAGTAAGTATCACTCTTAAGTCCTGGGTTGGAAATGGTTGACTTTTGTAAGGCCCTTGTGTGTGTGTGTATTTTTTATATATATATATTCAGAATTAGACTATCTCTTAACCTTAAATTGACTTCAGTCATTCTCACTCTCCATTTCTTGTTACTGTGCAGCCCAAATCAAGGTGCCTAAATCAAGTTTTCTTTGCAGTAGGTGCATGGCTTCACATTCTGCTTTCTTTGTTTTGCATAGATTTGGGGTTTGTTTTTTTCTGGTATGGCTCTAGTGCTAGTACCAGTTCCAGCTGTGGAACCAGAATACCCTCTTCACTGAACAGGTACAATCTTGGCTGGGCAAATGAAACTTTCAATACACTAGTGTAGTCTGCGTCTCACCACTTTCCTGAGGGTACTGGTTCTGGGGCATTGTTCACTTTTCAGGGACTGTGCAACTGTTGTAGTTTGTCTTTTCTCCTGAGACACAGAAGGAGACTATGATTCTCGAGTTCCCAGGCTGTCACTGCCTGTCACTGAGGCCCAGATTACATGTTGCAGATCTAGCCATTGTCTTTTGTGATGAGTGCCAATGAAATAAAGAGTTAATGTGCTTGTTGGAAATGTGAAACCAGTGCCCCATGGTGAAATTGGGAGCTGAATGTTGCATGGTACCATCATGAGACATAGATCAAAGTTCCTGACTTCTTCTCCTGGGGCATTCTAACGATAATGTCCAGCCCAACTTTGGGTAACTCCATCCTGTCTGGTTAAAACTCCAATAAAGCTGGTTAGAAAATGGCAATTTGTATGAAGCCATTTTTTCTGAAAATATTTTTTTGTTTGAAATAGAGACCTATTTGTTTTTGTTTTTCATTAGAAAAAGGAGGGGAGCTAGAAAAGAAAAACCCTAAGAGTTCACTGTAGCAAAGGAAAACTAAATTTTTTAGTCAGTTTTGCTGAAAAAAATGTTGAGCTATCAGCAGAATTTCCTTAAAGTCATTTTTATGTTTTAAATA